CAGCCTTTGACTCTGCCATTGACTCTGCCATTGACTCTGCCTTTGACTCTGCCCTTGACTCTGCCCTTGACTCTGCCCTTGACTCTGCCCTTGACTTTGCCCTTGACCCAGCTACCCTAGACTCAGCTTCTCTGACTCAGCATTTGACTGAGCCCCCTTGACTGAGCCCTTGACTGAGCCCTTGACTGAGCCCTTGACTGAGCCCTTGATTGAGCCCTTGACTGAGCCCTTGACTGAGCCCTTGACTGAGCCCTTGACTGAGCCCTTGACTGAGCCCTTGACTCAGCTTCCCTTGTTCCCCCCCCAGAACAATTGTTTAGTGCTGGACGGATTATAGAGAGGCAGAGGGCCTCACAATTCTACCCGGAACTGATACTGGGGCCATTACCCAGCTTCGTCTAGCTGGAAACCGGGTCGAGCATCCAACTCAAGACAATAATGTTCGGCTAACTAAACGCAGCTTCCCTTGTGTTTGGATGGGTAGGCATTGCTTGCATTGATTCACCCGTTTTTCTCGCTGCTCCCCTGCTTTGTTTTCGCCATCCCTTTTTTGGCGCTGTGTAATGTGTGCCAGGGTTTGAGCTCTGGACCTTTCGGTACATCTAAATTGATTTGGCTTCAACTGCGGTTATGACGTAGAGACCCTGCTCTGACTTGAGGCCTTCAACCGCTTCTTTTTTTCTTGTGGGGGAGAGAAGGGGAGGAAGGGGGGGTTGTAAATTTCTGGGCACACGGGTATGTTCCTCAGGTGGAACTCTTTTCTTGTATGGCACCAGCTTCACGTTTATCGTTGCCTACTACACAGGGAGACAGCCCCGGGGGTTCTGTGACTGGAACATCGCTTGGCCGCCGACTTGCAAATCACTGTGCAGGACACAATGCATCGATCTTTCTCGGCTTACATGTGTGGGTACATCCTTACGTACAACACATCATGTGTGGGTAACTTGCAAATCACTCTCTGTGCGGTCCTGCAAGTTGCAATCAGGGCCCACCGAACAAAATGTGCCATGGTCACCCCGGGGAGTGGTGCTTTGGTCCTCGCTCTCACCTCTCTGGCTGTGTCGTCCGCGGTCCTGGGCCCACTACACGGCCATTGTTTATGCATCTTACAACTGGCTGGAACCGTGGGGCTGTTGACATCACGGTTTATGGTTCCTGGCTGTTTGCCTCCTTTCACACTGTCCGTGTAAGTGAATTGGTCCTCACAGCGCACACTCCTTTGTGTCGAGGATTACTTGCTCTCTACCCCTGCAACAGAGCTAGAAGGTGTATAATAAGCAGCAGCCCATTGCGATTCCTCCTCTGCATGGCAACAGATACTGTTACACTTAGCTGCTGCAGGAGACGCTGTCTATATCAGAATCATTACAGTCATACCATGGCGTGGTTTCTCCAGCTGCAAGTGCAAGGGGCTCTGCCTCCTTTCTGACTGTACACACCCTGCATTTGCGACCAGGAACATTATTTTGAATGCATGCTCCCCACAGTGTTTGCAACCAGGAACGTTATTCTGAATGCCTGCATGATCCCCTGTGATGATGGGCTGTTGTTCTTTGTTCCTGCCTTGCAACTACGTGGCATTTTTCAGGAGTTTTTGGCAGGCATCGGCTGATGCCAGCCGTCATCTCAACGGTTCTGCTCAGAATTCAGTCTTGGTCTTGCATGTCATTCATCGCCCATTTCATTCCTACTATGCTTGGCCCCTCTTCCCAAGCTTCCCAAGAGCTTCCCAAGCTTCCCAAGCTTCCCAAGCTTCCCAAGCTTCCCAAGCTCAGACTGACTCCTAGTCCTAACTCACCTCTCCTCACTCTGTAATCTCTTTTTTTCTACAGTGTGCGCGTGTGCTTTTTTTATAGCAGACGAGCGTGCGGGCACTTCTTTCTAAACCACATTGATGTGGTAACCCTTGCACCGGAAAGGCAGAGTCAAAATGGAAACTAAACTTACTAAAGGAGAAAAAGACCCAAGAAAGAAAGAAGCAAGAAATTTCCAAGAAAAGGGAAAAGTTTAAACTTTAACGTGAAACAAAAAAACGAAATAGAAAAGGGCAAAAAGAACGGTTTCACTATGCCTCACGAACTGCCTTCCCCTCCACTACTTTCCTCCCCTGCCCTTTTTTTTCCCCCTTTTTTCCTTTGAAGATTGGTAGGCCTCTATCCCACCACCATCACTACCTCCATATTTCAGGATTGGGTCTGCCTTGTTCGCGTTGTCTGCGCTCTTCTCTTCATTTGTTTCACAAAAAAGCACTGTTTTCTAGTTGCTAGATATGTAACAATATATTCTGCTGAGAAAAAAAAAAAAAAAAAAAAAAAAAG